TGGACAGTCAGGTTCCTTGAATGGTTAGTGAAGTTGCTGTAAACGTNTTGATCGTAGTCCGTAAAAGTTAGGATGCGTTTTAGTGCTAGAAAAATGAGTTTAATTTCTGTTATTATTCCATGTCTAATATTATGAATTACAACGGAAATTAAACATGCATCTTATTAAGATCCATTCAGAACTTTACGACATTAATTTTTCAGTTCAGATAGTACATTGCCTTTATTTCCATAATCCTATATGTGATAGTTATAGATTAGTGACTGCGATTATTATAGACTAAATCAAGATAAGAGCTTTGTGGTTTTGTTTTAGACCGTTATGGTAGTTGTTATAAGGAAGTATTTTATCAGTGCATAATGACGTTTATTCACGCTTTTTTGAGCGAACTAGCTGGTACTGTCATCCTCTTTCTCCAAGTCTTAAAAAATTATGATTTGCAATAGTTACATTTTGTAGTTGAGCTGAAAGCTAAAGTTACTAGCTAAATTCTCATAGGGCACGTATAAGATTAATCTTACCGGTCTTCTGTAATATTTCTAGATAAAATTCCAAAGAGTCCACCCTCTTTAAGCGACGCAGCTCTGCAAGCACTAGAACATTGTCGTGTAGATTTTGAGAGAAAAAATCCATATAACGACATCAAGCAAATTTTACGATACGAGCGTGTCTTAACAAAGGCAGAAATTGACAATATAGATGGAAAACAAAATATAGCTAATCGATCTGTAGCTTTAATGGAAATCCTTTTAACTCGTGACGATGACGATATTTTAGTAGTTTGCGACGCATTAGAAAAGTCCCCTGTACGTTCATTAAATACTTTAGGAAAAAGAATGAAGCGTAAGTTCGAAGAATTCAAGTGTTGAAATAGTATTACCTGCTCGCACATTCAGCAAAATTTTTGACCTTGAAACTAATTTTAAATTAATCAATTCCAAATTAATAAGCAGCAACTATATTATATCCCAAAATAATCTAATTGAGGAATATAAAATATAGATTTTTTGACTTAGCGATAATATGTAGCAGCATGGGCTAATTGTGTCATCTTAGTTATTCAGTGAAAATAAAACATTAAAGTAACGTCAGCATAGAAAATAGATTAAGTTAAATTTTAAAATTTTATAAACCTTATAAGCGGTAGCAAATAGGTTAATGATAAAGTTTCTAACCAATTTACTGAAGATTTAGAAATATAGCGGACATAACCGATTTCATGCCTTTTAACTAGTTGTAGCAGCTAATATCGAAGGGATGATTTAAGATAAATAGCACATCCTTAACCTAAACTTTATTCTACTTTGTAGCCTTAATCTCTCTCACGTTCTGTAATAGTTACATAATTAGTATGTTACCTTCTTTCTATATATGGTTAAATATCACGATGTTATCACGTCATACGTATATAGATGTAGTTATGGTACTATATCAAGGTTATCTATATATGTATTCTCATGTTGTCATACTTGGCATGATATCCTATTTGTAATGTCTAAACTAGGGAAACCTTTCTGTTAGTGATGATCTTGTGATCTACGTCAGTAGATCAAAGGTCACAATAAAGAAAGTATATAAACTCTTTATTTTAACAATAAAGTTAGTTCTTCAACTTAATTACTGGGTCTCCTAGCTGAGTGCAGATCTAGTACTTGTTACAAAATTTGGAAGTTGTAACAGTAAGACATTTATTTATACTTTTTTTTGAGCGAACTAGCTGGTACTGCCATTCTCTTTCTACAAGTCTTAAAGAATTATGATTTGCAATAGTCACATTTTTGTAGATGAGCTGATAGCTAAAATTACAAGCTAAATTCTCATAGGGCATGTATAAGATATATCTTATCCGTCTACTGTAATATTTCTAGATGAAAATCCAGATAGCCCACCCTCTTTAAGCAGCGTAACACCTCTTGCATTAGAGCATTGTCGTGCAGAATTTGAAAGAAAAAATTCATATGACGAAACAAGGCAAACTTTGCGACGCGAGTTTGTCTTAATTCCGGCAGAAGCTGAGAATATAAATGGAAAACAAAATACAACTGATCGATCTGAGGCTTTAAGGGAGGATTGTAGGAGATTTCTAAATGATTCTAAGGCATCTCTTGAACGATTAGATTCCACGAATGGTTAGTGCAGTTGCTACAAACGTTTTGATCGCAGTCCGTAAAAGCTAGGATACGTTTTAGTGCTAAAAAAATGAGCTTAATTTCTGTTGTTATTTCATATCCAATATTCTGAATTACAACGGAAATTAAATATGCATCTTATTGATATCAGTCCAGAACTTTACGACATTAATTTTTTAGTTTCGTTAGTACATTGCCTTTATTTCAATAATTCTATATGTGATAGTTATAGATTAGTTACAGCGATTGTTATAGACTAAATCAAGATCAGAGCTTTTTTTCTTTTCGATCGTTATGGTAGTTGTTATAAGGAAGTATTTTATCAGTGTATAAAGACATAAGACATTTATTCACACCTTTATAAGCAAACTAGCTGGTGCAGTTATTCTCTTTCTCCAAGTCTTAAAAAATTTAGCAAATTCAAGCAAATTTTACGACGCGAGAGTGTCTTAACATCAACAGAAATTGAGAATATAAATGGAATGCAAAATCCAGCTGATCGATCTGTAGCTTTAATGGAAATACTTTTAACTCGTGACGATGACGATTTTTTAGTAGTTTTTGACGCATTAGAAATATCCCCTGCACGTTCATTAAACACTTTAGGAAAAAGAATGAAACGTAAGTTCGAAGAATTCAAGTGTTGAAATAACATTACCTGCTTATTCAAACCTGTAATTATAATGCCTTGTAAGTGTGAACGGCGTAGGTATATAAGCCGTCGCTTTTCAATACAATAAAGAGAGAATAGGAGTTAGTTGTTAATTTTACAATAACTTCAACTACATGTACACTGTATAATCTCTTGTCTTCGATGCTTATTGAGAGTAGTACGAACATTCAATAGGGTTGTTAGTATTAACTCTAGATAGTAATACACAACAGTACCTATGTAGCTTAATGAAGGTTAGCTCTTAGAATTCATCTACATAAGTTAAATAGCAGAAAATTTTACCTACATTACTTGAATGATGCCATGATGAAGTTAATAACTTTGGATTTGTGTAATAATTGCAGCCATAGTCTGTTTCTTTTCTTGATTACGGAGGAAAATAACTTATAATTGAATGGATGCGTAAAGTGAACTCAATAACCTGTTACGAAGTAACTTGATCATGGCTTCTGTAATATATTTTCGATAAGGTTGCTCATCTAGGATTATGTTGGCATTAATTTATCTATGACGTCTTGCGTGTTTTTAATAGATAAGTGCATAGATACGTAAATTGATGAAATTGAACTTAAAATTGACTGTTTTATCGATAAAGTTCGATTTAGTTTTGCCTAAAGAGACTAGTGGCGCTACTGTGCCTCCTAAAAATCAGCTATCGTCAGCATTTAGAGTCATAATATAGGTAGATATCGGGAAAGACAAGCCTGATGGTAAAGTTGTAGTGTTAGTTTGCCGTAATAATTTTTCTCTCGTAACAAATTTAGATCGCAATACCGCCATATCCAAGTATGGATTTAATAATGTTACTTGATCTTTGTTTTTGGCACGTACTGTGCAATTATACATGTCTCACGTACGTAATATACACATTCTCTTAAATATTCGGTTAATATGATAGTACTGAGTATCATCTTTATAGTGACATAAATAATCAGATAATTTTTTGTTAACCAAAGTGAATAATAAGGTAGAATCGATTTGCATTAGCGTAATTAGTGGAAATGCTTTAATTATTGCTTACTCTATAGCACCTCAGAACCTAGTTCTGAAGTGATGGATGGCATGACCAATTATTTTATGAAGTTGTATAGTTTGGTGGTTCAGCTAGAGTATTTAAATATAACTAGCTATTTATGAGCTACGATGTTAGCAAATGATGCATTTGGTTGGGCACATACTTTATCCACATAATGCTAGTTAAAAAGTAGCGACCAGACCTCTCTGACATCTAGAAATTATATTTGTAGTCCTTACATGTCACTAAGTGACATCCGGTGATTTTTCGATTACAAAACATTAACTATTGCTGCATCTACTATTGCAAATTACACTTGCGTTTTACACTTGCATGTACGCGAGCGGAATAATCAAATATAATTCAAATAAATCGCACTGGCCGTGGTCTATCGAATTCAAACGAGCAGCTTCTCTAAAATATATACAGTTGTACGTCATACGGTACATCGGACAAAAAGAATTACTTAGCGCAAGCAGTAAATTTATAAGGACTATAGAGGTGTTGCAATGCTCCTTTTTTGGCTCACTAATCTCAGTAGAAAAATAAAGGTATTCTGTAATAGCAGAATGCGCGATAGTTCCAGTTTTCTGAATAAGTAAAATTTTTAGACATCCTGTTACCTGATTTATGGTAAAATATACTAAACGTTAGAAACAACGATTTCATAAAAACTTGGGATCAATAAGTTTTACAGAAAAATCATACAAGTAATTAAGTGGCAATTATTTGTATTGCATTAACTGCTTTTTCCTCCATTATTGTTGTTAGCATTAGACAAAGCGATTACAATTACTTCATGATTAAGAAATTGCTTTGCTATTATTTATCTTATTTTGGGAGATATCATTCTATTGGGTCAGAAACTTAAATAACACCATACAAGTATGTTAATAATGTGCAGTGTTTAATTGTAAATATTCAGAGTTTGAGAGGTAGTAAACTTAAATCGTCCTAACCATCGCCTATCGAATTTAAAGGAGCTGTTTCTTTAAATAATCTTGAGTACTACAGTTATAAGACGCATCGAATATCCTTTTATCTTTTATACTATAAAAGGAAAGAGAGCTTTGCATATGACGGCTATAGAATCAAAGGATATACTTACAAAAAAGTTACTTTAAGGTATTAAACTGTTCGTATAGAAGGTCACCATCGCCTTTAGAAGTGCGAAAGTCTTGATATTAAAAACTTATTCCATGAAAACCTATAAACGCTATACTAAAGAAGTAAATACGCTGCCATATTGTTTTCGCATGCATATTTAATAAAGTGAACTACCATGTACTAGAACCAACCTCGGTCAAGGACTGCCACTGTAAGTATAGTATCTAGTAATCCATGCCAGTGTAGTATATATTGTCATGGACTACTAGAAGAACACCTTGACTGAACCATTTCGTTATGAAAGTACTTTAGTAGGCACTGTCGATTTTAAATTGACTAATTTTTTACTAAATTAAGTAATATTACGTTGAATCTTATTATCCGTTACCAAGTTCTGCTTGGAAACAGTTATATAAGATCATTCGATGTGATTGCAATTAGTGCCCGTGATTTAAATGACAGGCACAGAAGATCCATACTACTGCAACTTTGGAAGTAGACATTTTTCGCTCTTGATGGCCTCTGTTGGTAAGAAACGCCTGTCCGTCCGACAAGTTCCTGTTTGACTAAATACTGTACTGTACACTAGTACAGTACAGTATATTGTAGCGTACGATATACAGTATTCCACTGTAATGTGAATACTGAATGTATTTTCTGGCATTTGAAAATAAGGTATCAAAATCTAACTTTTCAACCTGATGAAATATTAATTTGCTATCAATCGATACCTTCGATAATTTAGAATTGAAATAATGCAATCAAAATCATTAAAAAAGTGAATTGAGGGTTAAAATTGAGTTCGAAAATGACATAGCTACAATACAAAGTTCAATTTCGATCCAAACCTTAACACAAAAGTGTGAAGCACGCGTAGATTGTACTGTGGTGGACTCATACGTTATTAAATAAAACGCGGGAAGCATGCTTTTAGTTAATATTGATTGCAGAATTGAATCAACAAGAGCTATCATACAACTAATCCAGACTCAATCATATATTTTGTTGCATTTAAATACTAATGTTAAGTAGTCCATAGAAGAATTTATTAAACATTTACTTATTACTAAATATAAATTTATTTTCAAGTGTTTTTATCGTAATCGAATTTTGCATTATTATGTAAAATTCATCATTTTTTCAATGCTACTAAATAACTTTTCTAAAGTCTTAAAAATTTTTTGTATGGCCTCCTTAATTAGCAAAAGTCTTTGGCTGTCCCTTTTGTTATAATACTTTATATTTTTCTGTTGCTTTAAAGCTTTAAGAGTAATTTAGTAATTTAAAAAAGAAGCTACTAAGCTATTTGCAATAGTTATAGAAGAGTATCTCGCCAACAAAAGTAGCGTTGCTTTGTGCATAATAATACAACAAAAATAAGTGGAATTCGAAATAATTTCTGGAGCCATGTAGATTGTGTAGTATTTATGATGGTTAAATGTTTTTCTAAGCCATCTTACTGAGAAACATAAGCGATTAAATGGACAATAAAAAATAACATATCGTGAAGATTTAAATAAAGCATAAATTATAAAGTAAAAATTCCTTTTCATTTTAATCTACTGTTGTTCTAACAATCAACCGTGGACAGAATGTTGACATTTAGCAGTGCGGAAATTCCAATTGGAGCACCGGTAATTCTTTCAGACTGTTAACTTAAAACCAAGATTTTTTTTTGCTTGAAGGATAGAATAACGGAGAATATCTGATATACCAAAATTAATACTAAAATCTTAAAAGTCCTGTTCTCACTCACGGTTACTACATCTTCACTTAAAAAAACCAAGTGCTGAACCACTTAAATAGTTAACATACAAAGTATTACTCCATTTGGTACGTATGTAGTAGACTTGGAATGACCGTATCGACTATGAATTTCTGGAGATTATAATTTAAGGGATAGCATCTTACAATAGGCATGATAGAGTCAGGAAGGGATAGAAACTACCGTACTTAGGATATTGAAAATTTAGAATACGGTGTATGCTCTAAGAAATGGCAGCATGTAATATAGCTAAAGGCATTATTATAGAATACTCCTAATCATACTTGATATATTCAGTCTATTGCACGCATTATATTCATTGCATTCCTGCGAAGGTATCCATAAATCAGTAGGGCCAGTGTCTATCAGAACCTTAAATTTTTGTGGCGGTGTGTTTATAGTAATAGTAGCATGGTAATAAACTTAAATCTGTAACACTTAAATGATAAAAGTCAAGTCTTGATATATTTTTACATCAAAATGGATGAAGTATTCATTCTAGAATAACTTTTGGCTATTTTTTACTCATTTTTAATATGTGTAAAATAATGTAGAGAGATTTCTGACTATACTGTAAGCAAGACGATAAAGGAATGCCAAATATAATTCAATGTTATAACAGTGTAGTAAATTAGAGAATAAAAGCCCATACGTATTAGCAACGTCAATTTTTGCAGCGAGATTGCATCAAGCTATAATTAATTCTTTTTTATTAATAATTATAAATTCGGCTTGATAATTAATTAATACTAATTTGCATTGTCTCATATTGCACTGCCGTACAGTGTTGTTGAGTTCGCAGAATTGTCTAGCATTTGTCTGTGATCAATCTTGAAATAGTAACCGTACCCGCACCAATCAATATAATCTAATACGTATCATCGATATTACCAGCTACATGAAAGTCCCTTTAATTTGATATTTAAATTATTATTATTGTCACATACCACTAGTGACGAAGTAAGTCTACTCGGACCAACGCTAATGGAAAATGCCTCCTAATAACTAAAGAGACGAGAT